CACACACACACACACACACACACACACACACACACACACACACACACAATCCCATCATTTCAGTAATCTTTTCAGCCAAAAACCTACATGGCCACCACTGCAAACATGAGCTGGGTGCTTTCCAAGTATCTGGCAAGTGCACTGAGCTCCAGTAGGCAATGGTGAAAAAAATCATGTTGGCTCCTGTCCCCTCTCCCAGGGATTCCTCTTCTCAGGCTTACCTAGGGAAAGCCTCATCTTTTCTCCTGACCATAGTAATGGAACCCCTGAGTTATCTGAAAGGTTCATCTACTCCCTCCTATGCCCTGCCATCTGATCTTCTCTCTAGGTTCCTAACTGCTCTCTGGGATACTTTAGCAAGATGACAGAAGACTGCATGCATCACGCCAAGCTTTTATGCTGGGAACAGCCCATAAAGTAGGCAGTAAAGATGATACCATTTGCATTTTACGGATGGGAAATTTGGATTCCAGACAGCACATCCCCAAGACCATTTAACTGGTGAGTTGTGGGATGGGTAATGGCCTTGATTTATTAAGAGAAAATCAGGACTCCAGGGGCTCCGTGGTATCCCGAGACTCCACTTGTCCCGCCCACACTTACCAAAGGCTCGGGTGTCCAGCAGTGCAGTCTGGCGTGGCCTCCTGGCATCATCGTCACACACCCACTGCTCGCAGCACTGGCCAGGGACTCTCACATGCCGGGGCTGTCGGCACCAGAGGCGCGGGGGCCTGGGGCTCAAGCACAGTGGTGTGCAGCCCACCGTGCCATCAATGCAGGTGCAGTTGTACCTGCAGTTGGGCTGAAAGGACTCGCCATTGTTGTAGCGTACGCCATCCAGGACACAGCCCACACCGACCACCTCTGCAAAACACAGGTGGTAGACATGTCAGGCCCAGAGATGTGGGCTCTGTGCCAGGATACTTCTGTGCTGTTTTTCCTCTGTGTAAGACATCATGCCAAGAAATCACTCATGTGTGGATGGAGGGGCTGTCCCATATATTTGCACCCCAAGGGCAAAGATTAGGCCATGTGAAGGGGCGGGGAGCGAGGGTATGGTGAAAGTCTTTTATGACATCAGGGGACAGCCACCGAAGACTCTGCTGGATATTGGATGGGAGGGTCCAGGAAATTTTCATCCCTACACTGTGCCCAGCTCCAGGCCTGGTACTGACGAATGCCGGTCCAAGGGAGAAAGGCGTACATAGGAAACCAGAACCTAGGAGTGGAAGAAGGGGTTGCCTTCCTCAGGACTGACTGTGGAGTCTGGCAGGAGCTGAAGACCCGATGCTGGACACAATGACAACAGCCTGGTCCTCGGAGATCTCACTATAAGGTAGAAGGATGGCCCAATGGTCACTGGGAGTGTCTGTTGATGATGACAGCCACCAGTGGTACGTGTTGGAGATAATGGAAGAATGAGAGGGTGGTGGACACGGACATGGCCTGTAGGCTGAGAACAAGTGGACCTGCAAGGTCCATGGACACGAGAGGGCTTTCTGCCTGCCTTCCACAAAGACCAGAACAAGAGGGAGGCAGCCCAGGCATTGACGAAGTCTTCCAGGTAGCGGGGGCATCTACTGTGGGTGTGTAATGGCCGGATGAAGGAGCAGGCCTACGGGGAGGGAAGCAGGAAGAGAGAAAGAAAAGGGTGTGTGGAGGAGCAGCGAGACCAGATACATCTTCCTCCTGTCTCGGTGGAAGATCGACAACTGTTAGCATCTAGAACTCTTCCTGGCACATAGTAGGTCTTCAGTAAGTGACTTGGATGAACGAGAGGAATTATGTATTTCACGCAGCAGACAATAGGCTGGAGAGGGCCACAAGACAGCTCTGGGGATCACACCCCAGTGACCCAGGCAGAGGTTGGTGACTTCTCAGACCAAAAGCAACGAGAAAGTTCAGCTTCCAGACACATTTTCAAGGAGAGTTGCCAAGAAGGAAGACTTCCAGCCCTCTGTACTCAGGCCCAGAAAGCGAGATCTTCTGTTCTCTCTGGGACTGGGGCAGGCTGGCTCCAGGTCTTTCTTAGACATGAGATATGCCCAGTGGTGTTGGTTATACAAGCTGGCCTGTGGGCTTGGGGGACGGTCGGGCCAGATTCTACCTTGGTGCTGTGTGCTCCTTGGGGATAGCACCTGGCACTATACACAGAGCATTCTGGGACAGCAATGATGCCCACAGAGGAGGACGGTTAGGAGTCTACTGTAGCTCTGTCCTGTCTCCTGGATTGGTGGGGGTGGTGGCTGGTCATAAGAATCAGGCCATCTGTCAGGTGCCCATGCTGTCAGAACGAGGGACTCTGCTGTGTGTTTCATGGCATGTTTTGTTTTGTAAGGAAACACATAGCTCCTTCCATTGTTATGTACAGCAAAACAGTCCAGCAAGGTGACAAGGGAGTGTAAGCTGGCCAATGAGCCGTAGACTCGGGGTGTGTACATGCTGCCGTTGTTATCATTTTCTGGACATCCAGGAAGCAGGTGCTGGCGTGCATTGACACCAGCTTTGGACCCATGATCTCACTCATGACTTTATCAGGAGAGCTTTGTCTACTTCTTTAGGGACAGGAGAGGTCTGGGAGAGGGAGGGATTCGTGTGCTCAAATAACATGAGTGATGGAGTGAATGACACAGCAGAGACGCTAAACCCCCAACAGCCTCCCTCCTTCTACCTGATGCCAAAAAGGAGGGAGATGAGGGGAGAGGAAGGAGAAACGTCAGGCAGAGGAGGAGGAAACAGTATGCAAAGGGACCCCTGAGCCTCAGTCACCTGGCCTCTCCCTCAAACTCCAGGAAGATGTGTATGTGTAAATGTGTATACGTGAGTGTGCACATGTGTATGCACGGGAAGGTACATCTGTGTTTAGTTTATATATGTTTGTTTACATGTGCATGTGTGCGAAAGTGTGTAGGAAGATGTGTGCACGAGCGTGTGAGTCTCTCTCTCTCTCTCTCTCTCTCTCTCTCTCTCTCTCTCTCTCGTGTGTGTGTGTGTGTGTGTGTGTGTGTGTGTGTGTGTTGGTGGAGAGGAGACTGAAGCTTATGCTCTGCTCCCGTGGGTAAAGATGTCAGTTCAAGACTCTGGAGTCCTTGGCAAAGCAACCCTTCCATCAGCTCAAAGGAACTCACAGGAAAACCTTTGAAAATGTTGATGCCCAGGCTACATAACACGAGACAGCCCTACATACTGGAGCGTTGCTTCCCTCAGACTTGGTATTCTTTAAAATCTCCCAGGGGTGTCCAGTGTGCAGCAAAAGTCAGGGATTGTGCCCAGAAAGTGCTATCTCTGTAGGCTGAGGAATGGGGACACATGGGCAGCTGATAAACCTGCCCCACGTTGACCAAGAGAGATCAGAGTATGCAATGACCATGCAAAGCCACCATGCTCCTTTACTGGGACCTTCAAGCCCTCGTCATCCGTGGCCTTTCTGGAGTAGGAACAAGGCTTGGGTCCTGTAGCCTCAACCTTCATGTTGTCCCTAGTTAGTGGGCCGATGGGTGGATAGAGGCATAGGTGTGTCAGGGCCCCTACCTGCACTAGATTCCTACTGTATCTCAGCACGTGACAGCCTGACTCCCCACAGAGGTTCTCACTCTTCATCACCATGTCCTTATTAAGG